GACGTTCATCAAAGCTATTGATGAAAAGGCATGGAGAGCTATCTTGACTGGTTGGGAGCATCCAGTTACAAAGGATTCTGAAGGGAAGGAGATATTGAAGCCCGAAACTACTTGGTCAACCGAAGAGGACAAGTTGACGAACAACAATTCTAAAGCGCTAAATGTTATCTTCAACGGGGTAGATGTGAACCAATTCAAGCTCATTTCAACGTATGAAATAGTCAAGGATGCATGTGAGACATTACAAACGACATATGAAGGTACAGCTACCGTGAGGCTCTCAAAACTTCAAATCCTCACTACAAGGTTTGAGAACCTTCGAATGCAAGAAGATGAAACAATTTCTGAGTTTAATTCAAAATTGTGTGATATTGCTAATGAGGCATTTGCCCTTGGAGAGAAAATATCAGAGGAGAAGCTTGTGAGGAAGGCCTTGAGGTCTCTTCTATGGAGGTTTGCTTACAAGGTGACAGCTATCGAGGAAGGCAAGGATGTCCAAACAATAAAACTTGATGAGCTAATGGGTTATTTGCGCACTTTTGAGATAAATATGGATGAAAATAAAGAAAGAAAGAAGGAGAAAAGCATTGCCTTTCAAGCCGAAGTTGATTCTGATGATGAAGAAGACTTGGCCCAGTCCATAACAAGGTTGTCGAAGAAATTCAACAAGGTGATGAAGAAGGTCAATAGGAAGAATGAGAATTCAAGAAATGACAACTCCAACAATTTTCAAAAGAGTAAATCTGCAGCAAATAGCACAGAATTGAAGACAAAGAATAAAGGTATTCAATGCCGAAAGTGCAACGGATATGGACATATTCAATCCGAATGCGCCAATACTCTAAAGAAGAAGAAGAAGTCTCCGAATGCGACGTGGAGTAATGAAGACTCTGAAGGCAGTCATGAGGATGAAGACTGTGTGAGTAACTATGTTGCTTTCAATGTTTATACTGATCAAGGTATTTCTGCAGACAGTGTTACAAAAGGTGTCGCAGACAGTGTTGCAACACTGCATGTAACAGATTCCGTGAACAGTGAAAACGAATGACATTTTTCAGATTCTGAAAGTAACAGTGATGGTGAGGAGTTGACTGTTAAGGCCATAGAGGAAGCTTATAAGACCATGTTCAGCAAATGGGTTAAAGTGTGTGAAATGAATAAGTCTCTACGAGAGCGAGTTGATGAGCTTGTTAAAGAGAATGATATGCTTAAGAAGGCTGCCGTAAACTATGAATTTCAAGCTGCTGAAAATGAAAAAAATCTGCAAGACACAAGGGTAGAATTGGAGTGCACTCAAAAGTCACTTAAAATGATGAATTCTGGTACCACCAAACTTGATCATATTCTCTCTGTAGGAAAAGCTAGTTGTGATCGTCATGGACTTGGCTACACTGGTGAATGTTCAACATCCAAGACAGTGTTTGTGAAGGAGACACCCGCTTCTGAATCTCAAACTATCCTCAGTAAGAAAGGTATTATCTTACCCCCACAACGTAAAAAGTTTGTTCCCATATGTCATTACTGCGGTTTAGATGGCCATATAAGACTAAGATGCTACAAGTATTTAAATGCTTTGAAGAGAGGTATGCTCATGAATCCACCAAATTCCGCAAACTCAATAAGGACACCTAAAGCAAAGATTGATGTACAAAATAAATTTCCTAGACTTGTTTGGATAAGAAAATCTGATTTAAGGTGTCATAGAGTTTGCACTTCTTTTAAAGTATGTACTACTAACTCTGAGTATTGTGGTAATGGTAACTCCAAGCTTTTGATAGATCATAAAAGTAATATGCATGGAAGAATATTATATTCAGGGGGAGTATTTCATCTGGTGTTACGACACTTTCTGCGACAATAGCTTCTAAAAGGTTTGGTTCTTTTTGTTAGTACTGTTAGTTTTGCCAAAAATAGCCAAAGGGGGAGATTGTTAGTGCATTTTGTGTTGGCTTATTTTTGGCAAATTGGTTGTAAGATTGGCTGGCATTGTAAATTAGTGGCCCTCTTAAGGAAAGTCTTGTTGTCATGTTTATTGGCTGCAAATCAAAAGACTTGATTGCTGAAAATCAAGAGTGGACTTTTGGGGAATTAATTGTTGGTGATCTTGAGGCTTGAGGCAGGTTGAATGAGGGTGAAATGGCAGAACGTGTAGAGAGGTGTTGTTTTTGAAACAGAGAGAGGGCTGAAAACTAAAAAGATGATTTTGTTCATATCAGAATGAGATTGTAATGTTAAGTGTCATTTGATGTGTTGCGACGAATTGTTAGAACACTTTCGAGTTGGTTCTTCGGGAGAAGATTTCTTTAATTTTGGGAGGAAACCGTCAAGTCGAGTAGTGCTCGCTGATCAAGCTTCCTAAGAAGATTCTAGGCAACAGTGACATTGTCAAGGAGGGAGTCGTTGAGTGTGTAAGACTGTTCGGTCCTTTGTAATCTTTTAAATTTAGTGGATTGATCACTGTCTGGGTGTGGCCACGCAGATGTATGTGTGCGCACCGAACTGCGATATCATTTTCTGGTATCCTTTATGTTTCTACATTATTTTCCTGCATTACTGTTTTCCTGGTTTAATTTCAGATTTTCTATTAAAACAGTGTTACTGTCAAATGTTATAACACTCTCTGTGACACCAACGATAAAAACGGACCTAACACATCCAAACATACACACATAGATACAGTGATAACTTCAGTAATGGCATCGGCATTTTCGTTTTGGCCTAAATTTGTATTAACACAATACTAGAGCTCTGTTATTAAGAACTAAGCAGTCTTATTCCAGTATTTCTTAGATTCATTTAAGTCATTTTTGCAGTCACTTTCCTAGGAAAGAACAGTTTCTCACTCGTGTTTATCAGTTGTTCTTTGTGTTGTTTATTCTCTGATACACTCCGAGACCAGTATTAACAGCCGAATTCTCTTTGCATACCAGCAAAAGTAGCAATGCTGATACCAGTTTTCTCTCACCTTCATAATTTCAGGTTTTCTGTTTTTTGGTTTTTGTTGTTTTAGATACCGTCTCTGCCAACCTTCATAGCTTCAATAAACACTAGTGTGGTCAGTGAGCAAATCAGCAGATTTTTTTCAATGAAATCGGAACTACATAAAAGAAGATTAGCAACGTCTATTTAACTAAAAAAAGAAGAATAACATACCTATAAGAATTAATCACGTTACTTAGTTTTGTCTATAATTTAGCGCACATTTCCCATCTAAACCACCCAGAGGAAGGGAAAAAAAATGAACAAACTTCTCAACGATGGAAAACCATGCATGATAAGCACAAAGAACAGAGCAAAAAAGAAATTAATAATAATAATAAAAGCAGATTATATTACTGCATAAAAAGGAAACCAACTGCTATAAAACGAGATTTCACTTATCAACGATGGAAAAAGGGAAATGTTTACTTTCTTAAGGCTAGTTTTCATTTTGGGTTTCAACTTTCTTACCTACTAATTATCTTTATTCAACACGGCCTTCAAGTATCGCTCAACTTAATCAAATTTTAAAAGCATCTTTTAGATATTATACATCATCACAGACATAACATTCTTAAAGCTTCCTTAAGTGAGTACAGAACAACCAAAATCGACCCGATTTCTGGAAATAAATGTTCAACCAAAACATTGAAGACCTAGAAAGTGAGAATCTTATAATGTCTGTGCTACTTTTCAATCTAATACAAAAGGACAGCTATCCAACCTCCATAGCAGAACTATTATTATCAGAATGTGAAGCAAAATGTCTTCAAATCTTTCAACGGCGGCAATGAGATCATGCTTGGCAACGAATTAGCTCCGAGACGTAATTCTGATCTCATTGCGGTATTGGATCTGCAAGACCTGACAAACAGATTACAAGTGATAACGCATACGAAATACTTGTGCAGTAAAAAAAATTCTCAAGAGAATTGAACCTGACGACTGCGACGGTCTAAATTTCTAATCTCACTAGCTTGACACAATACTTGATATAAAAATAAGGAAGTCAATTGGAGTTTGATAACATTTTGCTTGAGAGTTGAGTTTAGTTATTAGCTTCTTAAATTCTTTTGTAGGAGTATTAAAGTCTTCTTTTAGGTTCTATACATTCCCATAAGCATACGGCAAGTGCATCAAATCTGAAGATAAATCATCATTAACTTAAAGATAAACTTGAAGAAAAAGTGTGTTAAGAACTTTGCAGTAGAAACCTTCTATAAAACTGTGGTAAGGTTTAAAGCTTACTTCGATTTACACAATAATCGAGGACTAGTTCGATTCATTAATATGCAAAACAGCAGCTTTTTCACTCATGTTTATCGATTGTTATTTGTTAATTTTTCCCCTCAAAAACCTGAAATCAACTTTAAGGACTGGATTTTCAATACCGGTTAAATAGGAAATCCGAGAAAACTACTTAGAAAAAATAAAAAATTGAAGTTGCTCTTTGTAGATCATTGAGACGTTTGCTTCCTATATTCGTTCTTGATTACAAATCATGATTTATGGTTATCTACAGTATTTTCTCTCATAAAAAATACACGTAAAACGAAAATAATTTTAAATCTGAATACATTTTTATTTGCTAATCCCAAATTAAAATAAAAAATAAAAAATAAAAAGAGACGAAGAAGAAGAACTCTTAACTGCCCTGTTATTGAATAAACTCTTCCATAATCTCACCTACAAATAATAAAATCAGAAACAAAAAAAAAAAGGAAAATAAAAACAAAAACAAAAATTCTTTAAAAAAAAAAAGAGAAAAAGAAAACCCCAGGAGTGAACCACTTCCACTTTTTCTCTTATTTTTCCCCGTCTCTTCAGACTTCTAACTCAAGAACGAACTCAAACTTGTGTAAAAAAGAAAACTAGTTCTGTTCGTTATACAAGAAGAAGAGAATTTCCCTTCTTCTTTTTGCTTTCTCTTTCCATCACATCAATGTAGATTCTTTGTTATACGAAACAAATTCTGCCCTGTACTTTCCCAACGCACAAAACACATTATTATTCTCTCCTAAATATTCTCCTCCTTTTTCTTCTTTTATCTCTTCCTCAGAGCTATTATTTTCTTGGAAAACCTACCTTGTTTCTTCCCAATTCACCACTTTGTCTATCGAAATTTTCCCATTATCCAAACGTTAATTCTTTCTTAAATCGGACCCAGTTTCCCATTTATTCTTAGGCTCTTTTTGCAACGACTTTTTTGCCTGTTCCTCCGGGTCATTTGGATCTGATAGCTCGTGATTTTGTGGTGATTTTGGTTTCATTTATGTTTCATATACTCTGTGAGAGTATTTTTCGAACTGGGTTTTGTTGTTTTCTTGTGATTGTTATCTTAATTAATTATTTAATTGGATTCCTCAAAACGTAATTGAGCTGTTTCTTCTCCATGTATAATAATGTCTCAGCAGCAGCAAAACCCTCATGAGGTTTTGCAATCTCTGCAGCAACCAGATTTCAAATCCTTCTCAATAAGGTAATCATTTCTGTTTACAGAAAATAATGGTGCTAATTTTTTTTTCTTTTTTTCTATGTGGCAATCAGTATTTTTTCCGTTTTGCACTGCTTATTTTCATGAATCTCTGATGTAGATTTCTATTTCCATTTGCTCTCTTCATATATTTCAATATCAAGTCGAGTATTATTTGTAGGAGTTAAAGAAACTTATGGAGTTTGCTTAGCATAGATTATTTTTCAACTAAGTAGAAGATAAAGCTTAAAATTTGTACTTTAATTTAATCATGGAAATAAAAGGGATGATTCTAAGTTTATATTTGAATTTCCCACTTTTTAAAAGATTTTTCAGGTTTAATTATCTATTTATTTTTGAAGAACAGGTAGGATTTTGTTTTTGAACTTTGGTTCTTATGTATGAGACTATGAGCTAAATTACTATTCTATTCTCTGTCTACTATCAAAGTTTTTGCACATCAATTTCCTTCTTCCAAGCATCTCAATATATGTTAATTTTATGAATGAGTGTTTTATTTTTTACTCTTTTTCTTTCTTTGTTATATATTGCAGACAATATGTTCTTGCTTATCGTCAGAAAGATGTCTTCCACAACTGGCCATTTCCAGAAAAGTACTTGCAGATGTGTCTAATTCACGGTATCAGTGATGTCTTGCCACCATTTCAACCCCACCATTTAGCTATTGAATCTATTAGAGGAGGCCTTAGGCATTTGAATTGTTCCCGACAAAGTAAAAAAAGTATAGCTAGTCCCGTCCATAGAATTCATCAAACTACTATAGACCAGGAGGCTATTTCAAAAGAGGAATGCAATTTGAGCAAGAATGATGAAACAGTATCCAATATTTGCGGTGATGTCAAAGACGATCGCCATCTATCCCTTTCTAGCAATACTTGTGAGCATGAAGACAATGATAATCCCCTCAGTTCTGATGTTACTTCTAGTATCATAGTTTCTGAAAATCAACCTTCTGCTGACATGTCAGGATTCCTCCTTCGTGATCATCGGTGCAATGAGACAATGAATTTGACCAAGAGGCTGGGACTTAAGCGAAGAAGGCATAAGGGAAAGCACAAGAAGAAATCAGTTGTTGATATATTATCTGTGGCTAAGCCTTGTACATACGAGGATCGGTTAAAGATGAACGAATTGTATTCTGGTTTGAGCAAGCCTCATGAGCACATGGTTGAAGAAATTGAAGAGGTGACAGATGTTGAGAAATCTGAGCTAACGGAGGATTGCTTAAATAATAAGCTTCACACAGGCAATTGTGAAGGTGATATTGATACGCTAAATGGAAAAGGATGGGTAGTGAAGTTCAAGTACAGTGGCTGCAGTTTAAAGTCCTGCAATATGGATCCAGAAAAAGGAAAAACGAATGCATAACTAATGGTACGGTCTCGATTTATTTCATTAATTATTTTGCTTCCTGTAAGAGAGAAATTATTCTATTGCGGAGACTTTAAGTTGGTATTTACTAACACAAGCAATCACGTATGTTATTGACATAATGTGCATAAAATCCTTCTGAAACAATTTAAACATCTCAGGAGCTTATGATTATTACCTGCAATTATATATAATGGTTATTGTTAGTTTATCAATCCATCCCGAAAGCTAAAGCTATTAGGAGGTGGGTCAACAATAGTTTTATATTTTATCAATCCTCCTCACGTGTGGGCTGGATAATGAGTAATCGTATGGTTAAATTAATTGAAAAGCCCAACACATGAACATATAATAATAAGCTCGAAATATATTAAAGACCCAACACGTGATAATAATTTTAAATGGGAATAAAGAGTGAAATTACGGGGTTTGAACTCAGGGTCTCTCTTTCAGATACCATGTTAGTTTACCAATTTATCCCGAAAGCTTAAGTTATTAGGAGGCCAACAATAGTTTTATATTTTAACAGTTATCCTTTTCTAGACCTCCTTTTTCGAAAATGCTCAGATATACCTCAAAGAAATAGCTAATTAGTGTGTTCATGAATCTCATGAACGGCAGCCGAAGAACAGAAAATTGTTGTCCTAGCTTGTGATCACAATAAGGAATTAATATATCTGATACAATTGAAAGTTCATACTACCCGTATGCAATCTGCAATTTGTTGGAAAAAGGATCTAACATGTATGTTTTCTAGAGATTTTGCTAATATGGAATTCACGCATTAATAATCTATGATGGTCTTAGTAAGCAAAGGAAAAGTAACTGCAAAAACTTCAAGTAGTTACTTGTAATTAGACCGCTATCGCATCATGTTAAAGAAATGTCAGCATTTGATGACAGCATTTAGTATGGTTAAAAATGCTGACCGAAATGGCAGACTAATTTAAAGTGCAAATGCACAAATACAAGCTTATAGAATCTTGTACACATAGCTGTTAATTTTTAGCCATTTTCGGCTGTTCCAAATAGCAGATAGACCAAAATATTTTGTTTTGATCAACCTCTTTTATATCCCTTTTGTTGTTGGAAGACTACTTGCAGTTACTCACATTCTGATAAGTGGAAATCAAACAAAAACCAAGAATACTAATGAGCTTGGTTGTCAAGAATCATTCAGCTCGTTTTTCCTTAATACCATAGTATATGATTTGCTTTCCTTTTTGTGCTTCTACATATCTTAAGGAAACGAATAACCATTCTCGTGGAATTAGCTAACCGATTTAGCTTTGTAAGCCTAGTCATTTTCTCTATTTTCTCTTTGTTTGATCAGCCAGAAATATGAAACATCTTAAATTGATTTTTTTTTTTTTTTTTTTTTAACTAATCTGTTTACTTTTCAGCAGTAACAAAGTCAGTGAATCACTTCTATTCTACAAATTACAGATTCCAGGTTGCAATCATCTGCATTATCAATCTCCAAGTCAAATTTAGCATGATCAAACACATAACTCGAAAGAGATGATGGGGAGAGTAACTCATACACGTTGGTTTGTGTGACACAGTCACGTTTTTCTAATAGAATCTGATTTTCCAGCTTTTCTAAGTAGATTTTGTTCTTATAATTCACAATTCCTGGTTAGAGAAGGATAGTAAGAAATAGGGTAGCAATTACATACCTGTACGATTAGTGTAGGGGAAACTGTTGTTTGTATAATTTATAACATTGACATTGAAATTTCTGCCAACCCTAAAGAATTTGGAGTCGTGATTTATCGGCCAAAGACATTGTTTTTCTTCAAATACTATGGTCTAATCTGATTAAAACTCAAAAAAGAAAGTACAACATGCAAAGGTACCAAGTAGATTTGGTCTTAGCATACTAAATAGGGCGCTAAAATCCTCATCTCCAGGGGGAAATAACACGGCGATTTCAAAAAATTATATTTTTCCGCCAAATGTCAACTACAAAACAAAGATTAGTCACAGTAAAGAGAGTTATGGAATGAGTTAATTTCCATACATAGTAGAAACACTTTTGAAGCATACTTTCAAGCAGAAGCCAAATGCAGCCTTTCGAGGAAAGCGTAATAGCTCACTGGTCTAGCGACGATTCACCGAAGCTGCTAAGTGATGAAACCTGAAAGCCACCTTTCCAAGTGTTAGCAACGGAGCAGTATCAACGGAGCAAAACTTGGGAGGAGATGAGCACAAGCTTTTCATCATTATCTGAGTTGTGCAACAGCGTCTAATTTGTTTAGTACTGCTCATCCAATACCAATTATCTACGCCGAGAATTTGTTTCTAGATCTCTCTACAAGGCTATAAACACGCAATGAAAAAAAGGCTGCTTGAAAGAGATTACACAACTCCACCATGGGCGTCATTGTTGTCTCTTTCTAGTGCTGTAATCATCTTAATTCTTACTGTTTCTCTTTAGCTGTTTCTAAGACAAGTCTCTTAATTTATTGAAACCATTAAAATTTAATGCTAATATCACAAGAGAATAGTCAAGAAACTAATCCTTTTTCATAAGAATAAGAGGTATGTTATCAAAAGATAACAAGTAACCTTTATAACTAATTCAAAGCCTGTGCAAAACAATACTAAAATAGAAAGGAAGAAGATATCATTGCCAAGTTGTTGTAACAATGGACTGATTCAGAAAAGGAAAAATCAAGCAAAACTATAATATATAATATGTTCAAGTCAAGCAAAATTAAGAATCTGTGGTCTACTTTTCTAACAGGAAGATAATTTTTTCAAAAAAAAAAAAAAAAAACAGATACAGAATATGTCCTCCAGCTCCGGGACTCTCAGTTCTCTTCTTATTTATTTTTCCGACATTAATTTGGCTTTACCAACTTTTCTTAACAGAAGTTTCTAGCTTTCTATGTACTAACTTGAGCAATAGTTACGACAGTAGTACATATACTTTCCCGCTTGGCTTTCAAGTAAATGTGACAACTGACAAGTCCAGTTTCTTTTCCTAAACTTGTCCAAATATTTTAGTAAGTCAGCTGGTATTTAATTAGTTGGAGATTTTTCTGTAAATATCAAGAGATCTGAGACACTATTAGCAAAAGTGAAAGGGTTAACATCTCTCTAACTTGGAGAAGATGTCAATGGTCTAGAAACTAGTAACCCGTCTCTTTCGCGAGTATGAACCACAGCTCAAACCTTTTTGCTATTTTGTTATAATGTTTTCTCTTAAAAAATATTTGAATTTCTATTCAAACTTTATGTTAAAACCTATAAACCAAACAGTTGTTCTCTGTTCAAAATAAATAAATAATTGAGAACAAACTGGCATTGAAGCATACCCACCAGAAACTATTTTTCACACCCTACTCTTGTGCTCGGGAGTGCTTGGTATGCTGTAATCACAACTAGAAACTCCTTTCTGGTGTACCATTTGAAGCTTTAGCGAGTGTTTGCTATGCGGAAATCAGTAAGAGTCACAATACTAGAAAAGTGATCAAAGGTAATAATATTGCTCAAGTTAGTACATAAATCATCTCTCGGATTCCAGAGGAAACTTGCTGTTATGACGTTTGGTTGTATGCAGGAATGTTCTCTTAAATTCTCAGGAATTACATATTTCGCATTTGGTTGTGCATAAGAATATTGAACTCTTTCAGGTATGCAAGAATGCCAATATTCATGTATTAAAATAATAGTAAATTAATCTGTGAAGGATCTCCTTCTTAATTTCCTTGAAGTCATGTCTAAAGATTGAGCTGCTTGAAGAATCTGTGTGGCACTTTGGTCTATCTAGTCTGATAGAAACTCTTTCATCCACCAGAAAAATGAAGGAAAAGGCTTGCCTCAAGTTTGGTGGAAGCAGCGCAGTGTTTCATCACCGAGTTTTAGGTGCCGAGTCAAAATTTAAAGCTCTTCTCCTTTTGGCCCTTCTTCTTTGGCCGTGGCTAACTGCTGGTCGGTTGAAGCTAAAATATTCATGCATTCAATTACGATAGGTGCCGTAATTAGAGGTGATGCAGGCTCAGATTTTGGGCGGCCATGGCAAAAGAAGCTGGCGGATTGGTTGAGAGTGATTTTCTCAAATGCAACATGTGCCATAAGGCTCAAACTCAATTTCTCTGGATTAATTTCATAAATTCTCCACAAACTATATACCCTTTTTTAAAATGCTTCTTGATGTTTCAAAACCATTTAAAACACCTCCCGATCTATAAAAAAATAAATCAAAACACATCATTTATCCATTTCCGTCCATAAACTTAACAGATTATGTTGACGTTACATGTGATTAAAACTTTAAATTCTAATTAAACTTATTCAAATGATTTAAGTATTAAAAAAAATAAATAAAGAAATAAAGAAAACCCTTAAAAACTAGAAAGGGGTTAATTACTAAAAAAAAAAAAAGGGCTGTGCTACAGTTCCCCAACGTGGAATGACTATTCAATTCCACAAGCTAATCTCTGCCGTTTGTGGAATTGACGTGACATATTTTATTAATTGTAGAAAATCGGACGGCCATTATCTTTTGAAGGCTGTGAAGGGTAAAGGGAGAGCATGTGCTTTGAATTTTCTTTTGTTTCTTTCATTCATAAGTGAAAATATTTATTGAAACAGTAGAAATCCCACCAAAAGGCTGAGACTTAAGCGAAGAAGGCATAAGGGAAAGCACAAGAGGATATCAGTTGCTGATATGTTATCTGTGGCTAAGCCTTGTACGTACGAGGATCGTTTAATGATGAACGAATTGTATTGTGGTTTGAGCAAGCCTCACGAATCCATTTTGTTGGTATTTACTAACACCAGCAATCACATGTGTTAATGACATTATGTTCATAAAATTTCTCTGAAACAATTCAAATATCTCAGGAGCTTATGATTATAGCATTCAGTTATATATAAATGGTTACTGTTACTTTATCAATCCATCCTAAAAGTTTAAGGGGTTGTTCTTTTGCAACAAAACTCAGAAAAAATTTAAACTCAAGTTACAACTTTATTTAAGTTCACGTTCTTTTAAGTTTCAATTTTATTCAACTTTACTCAACTTTATTCAAGTTACAACTTCAACTCAAGTTATAACTCAAATTCAACTCAAAAATTACACTCAAGTTACACTACAAAAGAACATGCCCTAAGTTATTAGAGAGTGAGTCAACAATAATTTTATATTGAGTAGTTATATTTCTACCTCAAAAACTCATATATGTGTCACGCCCCCCAAACGGGGTGGGTGACGTGGAACTCGATTTGGGATTAATAAAGCAGATTCCCAACCGGGTCCCACACTTAACTGCATAAAAATCTAAATAAACGACATAATCCAGGAGCCTCTGACACACAGGGCTCCACCCCACAGGACATACAGTATCATACATACATGCACATGTAAATAATCAATTACAATAGACATCATCCACAATCTAGTAAATCCAATATTAAATAGGTTTACATAATTTCTCAAATTCCTTACATTTGTTCAAGAGGATAAACTCAATCCTCACTTGATCCAAGAGTAGCAACTCCAGCTACCCTGCACCGCTCCTCGAGTCTCCTGGGAGGGGTTTAACATTTAAAATATAAAACGTGAGCGAAAGGCCCAGTATGATATAATTCGAAATATTTAAAATAAATGAGCGCATGAATAAATGATTGAGTACATAAATAAAATAAGACATTCAGTCCCGACAGAACAGCCGGAACCTCACATCCTTTTTCTCAAAGGAAATATAACTGAAAATAACCATATTACAGGCTTCAGCAAGTAATTAGTACAAATTACTCACCTCACCAAGTGCCTCGCCTACCCGGACCGGTTTCAGGTTCTGCCCCCGAGGATGCACTCTCCGCATCCTATCTAGGCTTACAGCAATAGACTCTATTACCAGTTCACAAGATCTCTTTGCTTAAGAAATCATTTATTAAACATTTTGAAATCGTTATACGCCCCCACGAACTACTCAAGCCGCGGGCCCTATGACTGGATAAGCCATGGTTTTCAAAACGTTTTCTTTCACAAACCAATCCCTTTCTTTAAAACATTTTCAAGGCCAAAAATCCTTTTTGAAAACAGGCTCACAAGGAAAAGGAATAGAAATCCTACCTCTCACAATCAAACCTGGGACTAGCGTTGCCCTTTTCCGCCTTCCGCTTCCTCAAGCCCCTTCAGTCTGAATCCTCAGCGATCACTGATGCAAAA